GGGTTCTCAACCTTTGAGGCCTCCCCAATGTGCTGTAAGAACTTCACCCCCCCCCCCCCCCCCCGGGGCCACAGTAACTGTTTTTCTGCATAGCCAGTAGATTAAAAACCGGAGCCAGCATTAGGGGGTAGCAAGCCTAGGGCCCCAAGCCAAACTAAGTCCCTCGGGCTTTGGCTTCAGCCCCGGGCAGCAGGGCTCGGGCTTCGGCTTTCTGCCCTGGGCCCCCGCGAGTCTAACGCTGGCCTTGCTCTCTGGTTTATTTCAGTGGACCCCCCTGAAGCCTGCTTGTGGCCCCTCAGGGGACCCCGGGTTGAGAACCTCTGCTCTCTGGGATGGGTGGCGTGCAGTACAAGGAAGGGCCTCCCCCAGCCAGCCCTAATAAGCTTGCTTTGTCTTTCTGGCCTCAGTCCAATCTAATTGCATTGCATCTTGCCCGCTCCCTGAGAGGAGCTCAAGTGTCTTCTAGCTTCACGCTCCAGGCTGATGAGAAGGTGCAGCCTGCAACACCCCACGCAGTTCATCAGAGCCTGGGAGCAACCGGGAAAAGCAGCGCCTCCCCCTGGCTGTCATCTGTCTGCAATTCCCTGGGCCGGAGCGGAGTTAGGGGCCCCTCTTCCCACTGGACACGTGTTCAGAGACAACTGGGGCAGGTGCCAGGGACAGCTCAAGCCCAGCGCATTCTCTCTCCCTCTGAAACCTCCCCCCAGTTCAGACTCAGAGGACTGGCTCCTCAAAGGCATTTAGGCTCCTAACTCCCAGTGGAGGAACTGGGCCTGGTGGCCTTGCGTGGTCACGGACTCCAGGGCCCAGCAAGCACACAATGCTACCACCAGTGGCAGTGGCGGATCCTGCCTCGGCAGCGGTCTGCATTCACTTTGTACGGGTGTACGGGACAGGACATTCACTCTGAGCCTGCATTCCTAGAGCGCCCCCGCAACAGCCCGGGAAGTCAGAGGCCATTCCTGGTGCATGGCAGGCTGGACTGGGCAGCAGATGCAGCTCTGGGCCCTTCGTTAGGTACCTGCTCCCTGGGATTTTAGCCATTGCTGTAGCTACGCCGGTGCACAGACCCCTCCTGCCGATAGGGTGCAGCCACGTGAACTGTGACTCGGCTGCGTTTGCACAGACGTGGCGCCATTGGTGGCTACAAACCCCAGTGCAGACAAGCCCGAAGGGTCCAACTGGAACTTTCTGCCTCTGCCGGGTGGGATCCCTAGTTCCTCCCCAGCATCGGCTAGGCCATGACCAGCACTAAACAGCGTGTGACTGACAGCAGGCCCACTGGTGCATGCAGGGGCTCTTCTAGCATGGAAGGCCTTTGCACTGGGGGTAAGTCTGTACAACTCCGCTGCATTCCCAGCTGCGCTGCAGGGGAACATTGCTGGCTTCCTCCACTCTTGTCCACTCCTTTGCTCCAATGCCTGGTCACCCCTGGAGAGGAGCCATTCGTAACACAGAAAGGGAGGGGAATTTTACATCCAATGGGCCAAATCTGTCCCAGGTGTCGCTCCAGCGATGCATGGGGAATGGGTCAATGCTCACTATGGCTGGCAGGACCCAGTCCAGCAAAGTTCTTAAGCAAGTGCCTAAGATGCACTTGACTTATATGGGATTTAAGTATGTGCTTCATCGCTGTGACTCTGGCACAATTCAGCAAGGAGGTGCCGCGCACCAGCCCTTGACCAGCTGAGAGCTGCGGATGGTCAGGAGCTCTCGGGCTCCCGTTGCGATACGCAAGCGATTGCAGAGGCGGCTGGCAGGCTGCTCAACGGAGCTCGGTGGCTGCTGGGTTCTGCAGCAAGGAGCGAGGTTTGGCCGTGCCTGTTTTGGAGAAAGGGAGGAGCCGCAGTAACCGTCCGCACCAGGCTTTGTGTTACAAGCAGCAGCATGTGGGGCCCCAATTCTGCGCGTCCTGCCTGCAAGGTGCTGAGGCCGAGGCCTCCCCGACGGCAGGAGGAGCGGAGCATGTTGTAGAAGGCGCCGGAGCAGCTTCTAGGCTGGATCATGCGGTGCCCAAAATAGCCAGATTAGTGACTCAGGGGAGTGACCGCTGGTTCGCAAAGAAAAGAGAGAGCGCTCCAGGGGCGTGATTCCCCTTAGCACCAAGCCGAGGAGAGGCTCTGACCACACTGCCCTGCGCAAGAGCCTACAGCAGTTACTAATCTCAAGGATCTTCACAACGATTCACACTGCCCATCCTTAGCCCTGAACCGGGAGAGCTGTTGCCGAGACTACCACCACACCAACCTGCAATGATTGATGGATGCTCTATGCCTCTCCCAACCCCCTTCCTTACCCTCCTCGCTTTCCCCTCAAATATGAGCCTTTATCATTCAAGTGGATGTTCTGAAACTAAACCCACCCTATAAACTGATACCGCACAGGACAACAGACACTCGAGCCCTGATCCAAATCTCCAGTCAATGGCCAGACGCCCCTTGACTACCCAGGCTTTGGCTTGGGGCCTTCAAGAACTGGGAGAGGAAAGAAAATCACCGCTTACAGCCTGCGTAAAAGGCACTGCTCTGAATTGGAAAGCCAGGTTGAGTGACGGGTGCTTGGTTTCCGCTAGGGAAAACAGCAGGGCAGACTGGCTCAGTGTGCTTGAGGCTCTGGCTGCAGGAGTCTTTTTTGCTTTGCTAGACGGCCTGCCCAGTGAAGAAATGCACAGGGCATTGAGCCAAGAGAAAAGGCGGAGAGCAAGTAGGAGCTGGTTATGGCTTGTCGTAGCATCCTACGCTCTGAATGCCAGGTGGTAAACTCAGACTGCTGACCCTGCTAAGGAGACTAGAAGAAAAAACAGGAGAAGGACGCCTTATTTCTTCGTCATCAAGTGGCTGTGACACCGCTGCCCTCCGGGACAAGGCAAGGTGGCTACACTCAAGCTGGAGGGGAACACGTAACTGGACCAACTGCGGTCGGAAAGGCAAGAGCTCCCTTCTAACCAAGCCGACAAAACCAGCGGGTGGGGGGAGAGGTGGGGAGAGAAATGCTTTATTGTTGATTCAGTAAAACTCTCCAACAGACTCTTTGCAGACAGTGAAATAGCAGCTTTTCCAGGGCCAGCTGATGTGTAGTCCCTAAAACGTTCCCATTCCAGCAGCCAGCACGGTCGGGGAATTTATTGGCCCATTTTATACAGGGATCTGTCCTAAGCTAGCGTGGACTGTGGGCTCTTTTCAGCTGACAGGCTCAATTCCAGCCATGGGGTAAGGCAGATGTCTCTTCAGTAAAAGAAACGGAGTGGCACCTGCTTATACCAGGGCTGATTTTGGCCCAGGGGCTCGACGCCTGCCTCCTGCAATACACGCTGGAGCTCTTTGCGCAGGGCAGTTTACAATGCATGGATCCAATCCTGCAGGCCTCATGCCCTCAATACTCCCACTGAGTGAGTGAGTGAGTGTGTGTGAGAGTGTGTGTGTGTGCGTGTGTGTGTGTGAGCGAGCACTGCAGGCTCCAGGCCTAGCTGGGAGGCATAGTGGCCGGGTGGTACATTTTGTCTGCTCTGAGCCGATTTCTTCAGGAGCAAACGGCGAGAGAGGGAGAGGCACTTTCCCCTTCGAGCAGCGCTGGAACAGAATGAATCAGAGCGGAACGCTACATCCCCTTTTGGGCAGAGGTTCAGTTTCGCTTCTGCGGGGACAATACAGTACTGGACGGTTGCTTTGTTAGCCCCACACAATGAAAAGGGCTTAGTAGGATTTCTTTTGTAACAACTGTCTGGTTCAAACGCAGCAGATGACAAAAAAACATATACAATAAATTAGAAGTCGGCACAGCTTCCTAAGGTGCTCGTCACTAATAAAACGATTACTTGGGAGACAAACTATAGCTCTGGTACTTATCTTGTTATCTTTAAAAAAAACCAATAGTCCACAGGATTCTGCATAAAAATAAGCACATTTAAACCAAGAGCTTGCTGTTAACTAGGATAACCCGCTTTTTTATATATATAGATCTCTCTCTATAATTTTTTTCCCTAACATTGTTCTGCGAAGGACCAACTGGGTTTACAAAGGCATAAAAATAGAGATTTTGAAAGGGCAGCGTGCTAGTTAAGATGCTCAAGGCACCTCTGATTAAAATGATGGGAGAATATTCTACAGGACCGGCTCACAGTACAGCCGTGCTGTGAGCAGTTACTCTTCAACAGTCTTGTGTTTTTGGAAGGAGGGCATGGAAGGAGGAAAGGATAAAGGAATATCCGTTGCAGCAATTTCCCCCCATCACACACACAAGATAACAAAATATGGAGAGAATCTGAGGACATGGGCCAAATTCTGATCTTAGTTACACCGGTGTGAATCTAGAGTGATTCCATTGGTGCTAGTTACACTACTGTGTAAATCTGGGGTAACTCCAGTGTTCCTGAATTTACATCAGTGTCACTGAGATCACATTGTGGCACAGTTAAACCTCCAAACCAAGCCCATCTTTCTGATCTTGCATGTATGATATGAGGGGGAAAAAAACCCTCTTGTAGGTCAAAAGGTGTGTGTACGTATGTATGTATGTGTATATATATATATGTATGTGTGTGTGTGTATATATAATATATATATATATATATATATATATATATACACACACACACACACACACACACACACACACATATATACACACACACATACATACGTACACACACCTTTTGACCTACAAGAGGGTTTTTTTCCCCCTCATATCATACATGCAAGATCAGAAAGATGGGCTTGGTTTGGAGGTTTAACTGTGCCACAATGTATTGCATGCTTTGCTAAAGCCAGCTTCTGTTAGGTAAGAGTGTTATTTCATACAGTGTCCCAAGTATGGAGGAGGTAGCAGCACCTATACCAACCCTGTCAAGGCAAAAAGAAGGAGGAGTTTGGGCAGGGGGTTGTGACCTTAAAAAACAAAAGATCAGATCTGCTTGCCAGCTGCATCAGAATTCAAGTGGCATTTAAAGTACCTCCATGGGACTTTAGGATCTCTAAGGAATCTAATCTGTTGACTCTGACAAGTGTAAGACCCACTTTGTTTTATTTTAAGCAAGCAGGCTGCAGGGGAGTTTCAAACTCCCAGAACCAAACAGGAGCAAAGAATTGTGGGAAAGGCCAGTGTCAGTATTAGGACCTGGAGTATCGTCCCCACGTCAACGTTGTGATAGTCCCGCGTCTTCTAACTCGTCACAATATAATAAAGTCATGCAGCAATTTTAAATAAGTAGTCAAACAGTTCACTTTTCTCTAACTTCAACTTGTTCACCAGCACAGGATTGGAGGAAGCAGGTCTAATGATACTTCATGTGCAGAGTTCAAGAAAGGAAAATAAAAATAACCGCACAACCGGAAACACAGAAAGCAGAGTTGTTTTCTCAGTGGTATGTCTCAGATATTCTGTCTCACCATTTCTTTTCCCCCACCCTCTTCCTTAAAACTGCACTTTCTAAACAGCCAGATTGCAAGTCCATCCCTGCCTACGTGACTAAACTTTTCCACTTTATTAACAGGCTTTTTTATTAATTATTATTATTATTTCACAACTAGTTTAAACAAATCCAAAGTTTCAGATTTTTTTCTTTTTTAATTTGTCAGTTTCCCAATTTTCCCTCAAGAACATTTCCAGGGGCGGCGTGTGCTGCTGCGATCGTCCAGCTCCGAGATCTGGAGGAATTTTGGACCGAGCCCAGCTACACCCATTTCACTCCGATATGTGCTCTTCCTGATAACTTTTTGTGTTTGCTTTTAAACGTATAAAATCACAGTTCGTGTTACATCTTCAAAGGAAGAAAACAAAACACACACACGCGCACACACATCATATTGGTGAACACTGTACACTAAATAGGTCTTTTCAACAGCAGAACAGGACGTTTGGCCTATCATAGGTCGTAACATGGGCAGTGCCTGAAACTTTAGGGATGCCACGCCAGCACAAAACAGCTGAACCCATGGGTATCTTTACTTCTAGGCTCAGAGCATGGGACAGCTGGGCTCAGATCCTCAAAGGTATTTAGGATCCTAACTTCAATTGATTTCAGTGGCAGTTAGGAGTCTTTGAAGATCTAGGCCTTAGCTCTTTCCTGTTCGGGTATCAGACTGACATCCCCAAAATTCAGCCAACACAGCATTTACAGGTACCACACTAAGCCACTTCTGCATCAGACTTGGAGTTCAAATGCTGTCAAATCAAAGTGGGAAAGGGGCATTTGACCTGTCTTATTATTATGTATATATTTTAATAACACTTTTGAATTCATTTTACTGCTAAAACCTTGCTCTTTAAGAAGAATCCAACCTTTAAGCTGACACATTTTTTTAGGCTCATGTTCCTTTAAAATTCTCTTTTCTTTTGTTTTTAAAACACCTCCCGGAAAACTTGCTTTCTTCTGGCAGAAAAATCAGCTGGCAGCTCCGGGCTCTCACTGCACCCGCTCTGTGAAATTCTCCGGGAAAACCCCCCGACTTTGATCAAGTTCCTTATGCTGGAGCCAGTCAGCCTCTTTCACGCCCATCAGCCATCCTTCATCCTGGCAGAGAGATCAGATACCAAGGGCCAGATTATTTTTTTATGCAGTGCAGGTTGGGAGACATCAGAAAGGGAGTGGGTGAAACAGATGTGCAAAGTGATGCTCTGAGCTAGCCCTACTGGACTCCAAACAAGATGGACAAAGGAGCTTCTTTTCATTTTTGCAGTTAAGCCCACCTCCCACTGGAGGAAATGGCAAAGCTCCCACCCTGTGTACAAGCAGGGCACAGTGATTACATGGAAGACTTTCGCTGGATCACCAGTTATTGGGCTTGGTGTAGGAATTGCTGCATGGAATCCCCTGGCCCATGTTATGGAGGAGATCAGACTGGATGGGCTTAAAACCTATGGATAACCTATAAATCAGGAGGAACTGGATAGCCGCCAGCAGAGTCCTGCCGGTGTCCAGTCCCCGCCCCTGGGCGTTTTGTCCTCTGCCGAGGTCATTCAGCAAGGAGGTTCCCTGCAGATTGGGAGTGTGTCTGGAGTAGGAGAGGGTTCAGGGGAGGAGGCTACTCAGACATGCAGAGGCTATTGCCTGATGCAGTTCTCTCTGCATAGCTCGGTGCTGTCACGAGGAGGCATCCTCTCAGCTAGCAGCAGGCAAAGGCTCTGGGGGGTACCAGCCATGTGCATCGAGACAGCCTACGGGTTCATGTCCTCGCCTCACGGACAGCGCACGCATGGAGGACTGTTTACTACAACAGCTGCACGCGTTGTTCTGTGTCCTGCGTCCACCTCTTTGGGTGAGGCATCCATCTAGGCCCTCAGCTCATTTAAATGCATCTCAGGGGTGGGCAAAATACAACCCACGGGCCAGAGCCGGCCCATCTAACATTTCTGTGCGGCCTCCTCTGCCCCCTTGCGATCTCCGGGCTGCTAAAAGTCCCATGGTGCAGCAGGGCGCCCAGAAGTGGCGGGGGGAGAGGTGGTTTCCATGCGTTGCCCTCGCCCCCAGCACTGTCCTCACAGCTCCCATTGGCCGGAAACCAGCCAATTGGAGCTACAGGGGTGGTGCTTGCGGGCATGGGCAGCACACAGAGACCCGCTGCCTCCCTCTCCGCAAGGGCACACGGAGATGTGCCAGCAGCAGCCAGCCACAGCTGTCTCCAGGTGTGGTGTGGGGCCACGACACGCAGGCAGCCTGCCTGAGCCCTGCTGTGCCGCCGTCTGGGAGCCGCCTGTGGTAAGTGCCTCCCGGCCAGAGCCTGCATCTCACACCCCCTCCCACACCCCAACCCGCTGCCCCAGGTCAGAACCCCCTCCTGCACCCAAACTCCTTCCCAGATCCCGCACCCCCTCCCACACCCCAACCCGCTGCCCCAGGTCAGAACCCGCTCCTGCACCCAAACCCCCTCCCAGATCCCGCACCCCAATCCCCTGCCCCAGCCCAGGGCCCCCTCCTCCAAACTCCCTCCCAGAGCCCACACCCCTCACCCTCTCCTGCACCCCAACACTCTGCACCAGCCCAGAGCTCCCTCCTGCACCCAAACTCCCTCCCTGACACCGCATCCCCTTCATTAATATAGTAGAAATGTGCAGCCGTGCCGACTTACCAAAATTTGTGGAGTGGCCCCCCCCTGCGAAAATGATTGCCCGCCCCTGGGCTAAGCTCACTAAGCAGCTGGGACAGAATGCTCAGCGACCAGCCGCCCCAGCCAGCGGTGGCGGTGAATTCAGATGTTGGCTCTGATTACTTTGCATTACTGGAGCTGGCAGGAGTCACTGGAGGACAACCAAGGCAGCTATATAAAAACACAGAAGAGAGCTGCCCATCTGGCAGCCCCCCACCCCATGCTCTGTGCTGCCTGCCTCTCTCAGGGAGCGAGCAGCAGCTTCTCCTTAGGGTTTTTACCCTTTTGCTTTCCTCTCCTGCTCTCTGAATATTTTATATCGCTGCCACTGGAACAAAACGCCCAGCGTCCTCAGGCTGGCAGCTCCCCGCTGGCAGTGCCGATGCTGCAGGCTGATTTACCCCCGGCAGGCTTGGCCTCGTGCGTTGAGGGGGCTTCCTGGGAACCGTACACGACTCAAACCCACGTGCCCAATTCAGCGGAGCTGCGGACTGGAGGGTCGGTGATAGACTTTATCGCTTCCATGTGCCATAACATAGGCAGACAAATGGCTGGGTGGGAAGAAGCAAGCCCGGGGGGCTTTCCTGCAACGGCCAGTGAGGCGAGCGCTAGGTACCATCCAGCCGCTGGTCCGCGTCGGTGATGCACAGAGGCACAAGCGGCGCGTCTCCCACCCCTCTACTGCACCCAATTTCCCGGGGCGGGGTCCCTGGGTCTAGGCGCTGCAGCATGGCATTAGCTTCCTGGCTGCTGCATTTGGGCACTGAGGCTGCAGATGGTTAGACACAATTAAATACATGAATTGCCTGGTTTTCCAAGCTTTCTCCGCTCACGTGCGCCCAGCGCGCTCTTTGAGAGGCACGTTTGACAGGGCGGGGCCTTGCCACAGGTGAGCTGGAGCAGAGGATGCTCTGGAAGCTATTGTGAGGAGGCCGCAAGACTCCAAGCCTGGCTGGCGGCAGCCTGGACGATCCCAGCACTGTGGCTCTCAAAGCTGCATCCGGCTCAAGTGCACGTATAGGGCATAGAGAAACTCTGCGCCATACGCGCCCTCTCCTGCCACCGAAGCTAGAAGGGAATCTCCCTATCACCCTCCATAGGATCAGGGTTTCCATTCTGGAAGCTGCTAGAGGCAGGCAAGTCCCAGCCAGAAGAGGATACCATAGCCAGCAGAAATGGCCCGTTTGAGCTCCTCCCAAGACTCTCTCACACTGCAGGGAGCAGCTGTAAAACTCCGAGTGCTTTACAGACAGGGGTATATGCAGCATTATCCCCATTTTCTAGGCAGGGATGCGACTTGCCCAGGTAACACAGCAAGCCAATGGCAGAACTGGGACTGGGACTAGGACCACCCTCTTCTGCCTTTCCGTTTGTACCCTGCCGACCCTCTGCACCACACTGCCTGCCATTAAAAAGGTATTCAAAGGGCCGGCTTTATCCCTGCTGAATCCAGACCTCCATGGGGGAAATCCAGCCCCACGGCTTTGTTCTAAAGAGCAGGGAATTCTCCTACCTACTTCAAAAGCCACCGGGGCTGCGGGGCAGGGAGGTTAGATCTGTGTTTTCCTAGCAGCTGCCCTCCTCTCCTGCTAACAGAGCAACTGCAGCATCCCTAAACTGGAAATCCTGAATCTCAGCCCGGCTAGGAGGATTTCCTCAGTGCTTTTATGGAGGGCTTGTAATAAACAAAGTCAGTCCCAGCTCATTCACCTCGGGCTTGGATCTGGGAGAGTCTGAACCTCTCCCTAGGAGAGTCAGACGAGATTATCACAAGGGTCCCGTCTGGATTTAGAATCTGTGTCTCGGATTCTGCAGCCGAAGGATGACAGCTTTGTTCTAGTCCTTAGACTATCCTGCCATCTGCTGGGCAATGACATTAGAGCAATACCAAAACATCCCTGATGGTATAGCTGGCATAGCTATACTGAAGTCAAGGACCTGGTCCATAGTGTGTAGACGTATCCTAAGAAGGCAACACTGTAGCTGGGAGGGACTCCCATCCCAGGTAGGATTTCACGCTTCGGGTGTATCTACGCTGTAGCTGGGAGGCGTGACGCCACGTATACACACTCGCTTTGATGGAGTTAGTGCGCTAAACTTAGCAGCATTGCCCTGGGTGCAATACTGTCCGGGCTCCTCGGTTCATACTCACGTGGCTTGCCCACCACTCCCCGCACTCCCCCATGACCACACTGGTCCATTTAGCGCGCTAGCTCGCCGGTGTCCATCTATTGCATGTACGTCTATTGAGCTGGGAATGACCCCTCCCAGCTGCAGTGTAGACACACCCAAAGAGTGAAGTCCTGGAGCTTCCCCTCCCCACTCCACCCGCTGGGAAGATTCCCTGTAAACAGAGGATCCGTGTACCCGGGATTGCAGCCTGCGATTCTCAGCACGCTAGGAGCTGGGATTGGGAGCAGGAGGAAGATGAAGGTCAGCCTTGGATTAGCCAAGTAATGACCCCTGCTGGCTGATCAAGGAGCAGCACTGACAGGTGCCCACCTGAGGCCTGACCAGCTGCTCTGCTGGCAGGAGGAAGGCCTAGCTACCTTAGGATTTGTTACAGGAAAGAGGAGAGGGATAATTTTTTGTAAAGGCCCCCCACACACACCCCACTTTCCATGCCTTTAGCCAGGCTGACGTCTCTGCAGGACCCTCACTCTCAGAGAAAACCCACCCTCGGTTCTCCACCCAGCTGCCAGCGACAGACCCCAGCCAGTGAGGGGAGGAGAAGCAGTCAGTCCCATCCCCACCCAGCCTTCTTCCTCCCCGCCCTCACCTGCTCATCCGGGTTGTCGAACGGAATCACCAGCACCACGTCCCCAGCCTTCAGCGGCAGCTCGTCGCTGTCCGTGGCCACATAGTCATGCATGGCCTGAACCTACGAGAGATGAGGACTCGGATGAGCACCCGCCCAGCTCTCCAAAGGAACCTTGTGCAGAATTTTCAGATCTCTGCGATTTCCGTTTCTTCGAGCTAGTTTTATCCCAGCCATTTCAGACCAGATCCTCAAAGTAATGGAGGTGCCCAATCCCCATTGATTTCAAGGGAGTTCGGCACTATGTCCCTTTGAGGATCTGGGCCTTTGTCCCTCCCATCTCTATCACTTACAGGCAGTCGCTCTGCCTCCCCCAGAAATGAACTGCTCAGACCCAGCTGCTCTGGTGTAGACGGGTTTCTGCTTCTAGACCCAGGCTGAGTTCGCTGTTTAAGGCAAACGAGTGACTTGGGCCAAGGGAGTCACGGCATTGGAGTCCACAATAGCTGTTCTTACCTAGGGTGACCATAGGTCCCATTTGGGCCGGGACAGTCCCTTTTTTAAGCCCTGTCCCAGACGTCCCGACTTTTTTGGCAAAAGAGGGCATTTGTCCTGTTTGTTCTTGCCGATTGATCAAATTGGCAAGAGTACATGGGATAAATGGCCACTTTTGTCAGAAAAGTGAGGTGCTGTGGGGAGGAACTTGTGGATGGGAGAGTGGCGATGCCAGCCCTGGGGGGGGGGTGGGGGGGAGGGGAGGAGGCTGGCTTGGAGGGTGGGAGAGGAAGGGTTTCAGTGCATGGGGAACCGGCAACCAGCAACAGTCTTGAGTGGGGGCGGGGGTGGGGGAGGCGGCAGGGCAGGTTCCAGCGACCCGGTCAGCAGGGCTCGAGCGACAGCCTCGTGTGGGGGGCCTGCAGGGTTCGAGTGACCAGTGACAGCCTGACTGGAGGCCGGCAGGGTTCAAATGACCAGTGAGTAGTGACCACCTCAAGTTGGGGGCCAGCAGCATTCAAGTGACCAGCAACAGCTTCGAGTGGGGGGCCGGCAGGGTTCGAGTGACCAGTGACAGTCTGGGGGGAGCACCTTGGGCGAACAGCTGGGGCCAGCCCCGTGGGGGGTGGGGAGGCCTTGTACTAATCCACAAGGTGTCCCATTTTCCCTTTGGGAAATATGGTCATCCTATTCTTACCTCCAAAGGGCACAGATCCCCTTTAAAGAGAGGCTGTGAGTTTCTGACACCCGCCTTAGCCTAGGGCACAGAAAATGCCTGCAGGTCAGAAGTCACCCCACAATTTGGGGCTGAACCAGATCCCAGCACCATCAAACGCGGGAGCAGCTGCGATCTGGGGCCTTATTTCACTGCTCACTCTTATCACGATCCCCAAACCCCCAGATCTGACTGACCCTAGAAATCTGGGGTGTTGGAAACGCAGCTCTGAACTTTCAGGCCTGACTGTGGTTTATCTGCCTGAGTTCTGCCTTTAATGGGGCCCTGTCACACGTCTCCAGATGGCAACTGGCACCTGGTCAAGAGGACCAATTGGCGTAGCCAGAGCACTGATTCAACGTCTCTCCCACCTGCAGAGCTCCGTCAGGCTCAGCCTGCCGGGATTAGAGCTTTCCCCGTCCCCTACCCCTGGGATGGGGAGAGGCGGACGTGACTCCAACCTGCCCCCTGCAGAACAAAAGCTCTGAGGGGCCAAAGAGGTTGCCCCCTGCACTGGCTGCAGTGAATCTGGCCCGGTGTCTAAGGGAACCCACATCATTGGTGGCTTTCCCATTCCACTGTCCCCGGCAGCCCCAGAGCCACTGGCGTCACAGCACTGGGTGTAACGCCTCCTGCACGTGGGTCGCAGAGACGGATCAGCCCCCACCCCGCACGCGCTTACCTTAAACAGGAAACCCGGGGGCATGTCGGCCCTTTCAGAGGGGGCGCTGCCCTCCTCGGTGCCGTTGACGGTGGCTGGGAACGTCTCCACGACAACAGCAGGCAGGGAACTCTGGGTGGGGTGGGGGGGCAGGCGGGGAAGAGAAGGGGAGAAAGGGAACAAAGCCACACTGAGAAAGGAGCGTCCGAACTGCTCCCCCGCTGCAGAGACCCACTAAATCCAGCCCCAGCCTGCCCCGGATCCCAAGCCCCTTGATTGCCAGTGGGGTTTCCAAGCATGCTCGGCCACGTCAGTTTATAGCCCTGACTGGAGCAAAAGGGAAAGCAGAGAAGGGGGCAGATACTATCGAGGGATCCGGGCTTGTAAGGAACTTAGGCTGGGCGATGAAGGTGGTTTGATTACCTTTTGGGGGACAATGTGGACATTTTTGTCTTCTCCGGGGAATTTCGTATCTGCGCTGCGATACTGAACATTTAGGGAGCCCCATCACGCTCACAGCAGTGAAATACACGCGCAGCGGTGCCACGCTGCTGGGCCATTTACGTTTCCTCACTCCTCGCAGCACCCCTGTGGAGTGGGCCAGTGGCCTAACGCCCCTCTTACAGACTGGGAAATGGAGGCAGTGAGGAGAAGCAACTTGCTCGAGGTCACAGCAAGTGTTAGAGGTCCGGGGCGGGATGGAGGTCAGTGGGTGTGAAGCAAAAGGTGGGCGGGGGACACTCAAACAAGCTTATCACAACTCCTACTGGCTTGGCTTTGAGGCATGGGCGGGTTAGGGGGCTGAGGGAGAAGGAAGGTTCCTCATCTGCTCCCGAAGGCCTTGGCTCGAGCGCGCAAGACAAACCCAGTGCATGTCTGGCCTGTGAACAGGGACACAACGTGAGCATGCCAGTCACAAGGGCAGCTTCCACGCCTGATCATTCCACAGCCCTCTTTCCATCCCAGCTGCCCCCGCAAAACGAGAGCGGGGTGGGAGAGGACGGGACCCCACCTTCCCTACGTTCTTACAGGAGCAGATCCTGAGTCAGTTTCTGGTTTAGGTGCTTCAGCTCCAGCTGCGGCTTCTGTCCCAGATGCTTCGGCACTAGCAGGAGGTGCTTCATTCCCAGCTGGCTCGGCACTGGCAGGAGCGGTTTCTGCTGGCTGCAACACAAGAGGCATCCGGGGAGAGAGTTACACTCATTAGAGAGAGAGTCTGTGCATGGGAAAAAAGAGATCAATTTAAAGATTACACTCTCCAGGCAGAGATCACAGCTAGCCAGATCAAGGAGATGGACGCTGTCCACCGCTGCCATCTCCTGGCAATTAGGAAAATGATTCTATGTTTTCCTGCCTCTCCATAGTCTAGCTAGCCTGTAGTTCCCGCTCCATCCAGCCTCAGGTAAAGCGCCAAGTGAAATTAATGGGAGTTTTACCCGAGTGCAGAATGAAGTATTTGACTGCATGCAGCCACAGGAAAGGAGACAACCACATGAGGTACGCCCAGCTGACCTGACGCTCTCATTTGCTGGGCCAAATACTGTTCTCAGTTACTCCAGTAAAGGAGCTCCATTGCAGTCACTGGGGCTACCCCAATTCACCCAGGTGTAACCAAGAGCAAACTATATAGAACAGGTACAGATCTCTATGGAATTATAACGGAATCGTGGAAGTAAATGTGTGGTATCAGCGAGAGGGCTTTGGCGTCTTTGACAACCAGCTGATGGTTCCAGGAAGGAGAATTACTGTGCTGGGATGACAGGTTTCAGAGTAGCAGCCGTGTTAGTCTGTATCCGCAAAAAGAACAGGAGTACTTGTGGCACCTTAGAAACTAACAAATTTATTAGAGCATAAGCTTTCGTGGACTATGCATCCAAAGAAGTGGGCTGTAGTCCACGAAAGCTTATGCTCTAATAAATTTGTTAAGTCTCTAAGGTGCCACAAGTTCTCCTGTTCTTTGTGCTGGGATGGGCTCCCTCTAGCAAATACTGGGAAGAGCATCTCTGGACATCATCTGGCTAACCTGATAAGGAGAGCTTTAAAGTAGGTCTTACGGGGGATGGTGACAAAAATCCAGCCAATGCGCATCTAGGCTCAAGTAATGAAGACAAGGGAAAGGGGCAAATTTCTGGAGAAGGGCCTAAAAAAAAAAGCAACAGGGCAGTCTGCAAAATATCTTCCAGGCTTGTACACAAATGCAGGGAGTTGTGGGAAGAAGCAGGATGAACTGAAGTCATGGTGTATGAAGAAAAGGATGACTTAATTGGCATTACAGAAAGTCGGTGAGATAACTCCCATGATTGCAGTACCAGCATGAAGGGATATAGCTTGTTCCAGAGGGAGAGGTATGGGGGAGAAAAGAGGAGGCGTTGCACTGTGTGTCAAGAATGTATACACTTGCTTCGAGGTCCACAGAGAAGTGAGTGACAGACCTACTGAGAGTCTCTGGGTGACAATAAAAAGGGAAAAAGGTCAGTAGTGTTGTTATGGTAGGGGTCTATTATAGATCACCAAATCAGGAAGAGAAGTGGATGAGTCATTCTATAAGCAATTAACAAGATTAGCTAACACACCTGAGCTAGTATTAATGGGGGATTTTAACTTCCTTGATATCTGTTGGAAGACTAATGCAGCAAAGCATAGTATGTCCTGCAAGCTCTGTGTAGGGGACAACTTTCTGATTTAGAAAGTTGAAGAAACAACTCGGGGGTCGTCCATTTTGGATCTGGTTTTGACCAACGGGGATGAATTCGTTGTGAACGTGAAGGTGGTCGGGAACTTGGGAGGAAGTGATCATGATCGGATAGAATTCAAGATCTTAAGGAAAGGAGGACACGAGAACAGCAAAACAAGGACACAGGACTTCAGAAAAGTGGATCTCAAATGACTCAGAGAAATAGTAGGTCCCATGGGAAGACCAATTAGGAAGAAAAGGAGTCAAAAGGGGGCTGGCGGTTCTCAGAAGATGTAATACTAGAAGCTCAACATCAAGCTATTCCGATACAGAGGAAGGATCAGAAGAACCACAGGAGGCCAAGGTGGCTGCACAGGGAGCTTTTAAGCTATCTAAAAACCCAAAGGGATACACACAGGAAATGGAAGGAGGGGCATGTCACCAAGGAACTATACATGGGAATAGCATGAGTGTCTAGGGACAAAATCCGAAAAGCCCAGGCAAAGAATGAGTTACAGCTGGCAAGAAACGTTGGAGACAACAAGACGGGTTCTTCAATATGTCAGACAAAAAGAAAGATCAGGGATGGTTTGGGTTGATTGCCCAATGGAGAAGGTGAGCTGGTAACGGAAGATGATAGGAAGGCAGAGCTGCTCAATGCCTACTTTGCTTCAGTCTTCAAACAAAAAAAATACCCTGTGACCAGATGACTAGCGAACTTACCATAGACAATAAAGGGGAAGGGATGCAGATCAGGATAAGTAGAAGATCTCGGATGTGTTCTTTTGACCAATCTGAATGAATTCAGATCAGCAGGGCCTGATGCTATTCACCCCAGAGTGCTGAAGGAATTAGCTGAAGAAATCTCAGAGCCACTGGCAATAATATTTACAAACTTATGGATGACGGGAGAGGTCCTGGAAGACTGGAGAAGGGCTAACACAGTGCCCATCTATAGACCAGTCAGCCTGGCTTCGATACCTGGGAAGCTACTAGAGCAATGTATAAAACATTTAATTGTAAATACCTGGAGGATGAAGAGGTAATCACTAGCTGCCAGTGTGGATTTACTAAGAACAAATCATGCCAAACCAGCCTGATCGCCTTCTTTGACAGGGTAACTGGTTTGCGGATAGGTGGAATGTGGTGGACATAATAGACGTGGACTTCAGCAAGGCTTCTGACACAGTCCTACATGACATTCTAATAAATAAGCTGGAGAAATGTAGGCTTGTTGGACGTACCATTAAGTGGACACATAATTTGTTAAACAACCACAAACAAAGAGTAACTATTAATGGAATGACGACGGATTGGCAGGTCTCAAGTGGGTTTCCACAGGGATCTGTTCTGGGTCTAGTGTTGGTTAACATCGTTATTAATGACCTGGATGTAGGAATAGAGAGCATACTGATCATATGTGCAGATGACACAAAGCAATGGGGTGTTGCAAACGCTTTGGAGGATAGAGCTAAAATTCAAAGGGATCTTGATAAATTGGAGAACTGGGCTATAGACAACACAATGAAATTCAACAACGACAAATGTGAGGTGCCACACTTAGGGAAGAAAAACCAAATGCACAAATATAGAATGGGGGATAACTGGCTTGGCAGTAGCACCGAGAAGGATCTGGGAGTTGTGGTGGATCACAACCTCGACATGAGTCGGCAATGCGATGCTGTTGCAAAAAAAGCAAGCACAATATTGGGTTGCATTAACAGAGGCCTAGCATGCAAGTCACGGGAGGTGATAGAACCACTCTACTCTGCGCTGGTTAGGCCGCAGCTGGAGAACTGTGTCCAGTTTTGGTCACCAAGGTTTAAAAAGGATGTGGAGAAACTGGAAAGAACCCAGAGGCGAGCGACGAAGATGATCAAAGGGATGGAATGCAAGCCATAGGGGCAAAGGCGGAAGGAACTGGGTATGTTTAGTTTGGAAAAGAGGAGATTAAGGGGGGGACATGATAGCGGTCTACAAATACTTGAAAGGCTGCCATAATAAAGATGGAGAAAAGCAGTTCTCTCTTGCCACAGAAGGCAGGACAAGAGGCAATGGGATCAAACTACAGCACAGCAGATGTAGATTAAATCTCAGGAAAAAACTTCCTAACGGTAAGAACAGTAGGACAATGGAACAGACTGGCTACGGAAGTCATGGAAGCTTCTTCACCGGAGGTTTTCAAAAGGAGGCTGGACAGCCATCTGTCTTGGATAGTTTAGACACACCAAATACTGCATCCTGGCTGGGGGTTAGAGTAGATGACCCTTGTGGTCCCTTCTAACCTTATGGTTCTATGATTCTAGGGCTTGGATTGAGGGTTATGAGCCAGATGCACAGCTGGTGTAAATCGATGTCACCACATCGACTGCCATGGAGCTATGTTGATTTCCACAAGCCGAGGATTTGGCCCATCCAGGACAAGATACAGAAATGGGAATCCCGTTAATCTGCCAGACTGAGTAAGAATGAAAAAAAATTGTCAGTGATATTACCCAGATTCCTATGTGATTTTCAGCCCGTCCAATAAATAGGGGTCATCTGCAAATACTTGGCTTGGTTTTAATTCTTATAGGAAGTTTCCTAAAGGCAAAATCCCCTAACAGGCAATTTCTAGGGACCAATATTACTTGGAATATTTAATTTTTGTGTAACCCTGAAATGGCGGGGTGTGTTTGTGTGTGTGGTGGGGGGGGGGGTCGTCAGATACAGAATTGGCTTAACTATCCTTAGATTTAGATAGTTTTTCCTAATATCTGCCCTAAATCTCCCTTGCTCCAGCTTAAATACGGGGACAGGTTACCTAAGGAGGTTGTGGAATCCCCGTCATTGGAGATTTTTAAGAACAGGTTGGACAAACATCTGTCAGGGATGGTCTAGGTATACTTGGTCCTGCCTCCTTACCGGAGGGGGGAAAGGAGGAAGGTGGGGAGGATGGATGGACTAGATGACCTCTTGAAGGTCTTTCTAGCACTACATTTCTACGCCTCTGATATAGAATGCTTCACTGAATTCTCCATCCCACACGCACACTGCATAGGGGAAAACCAAATGCTTCATAGCATCAAAAGTATCTTCATGACACACTCAGTCACGCACACAATACCTGGGCTGAAAACGACCAGCCCATCTCCCTGGAAACTGGAGGGCCCAATCCTGCAACACTTACTCAGACAGATAGTCCCAGTGGGCCTGATCCTCCTCTCCCTTATAACAATTTACCCCAGATGAGGATTTGATCCCACTGGCGTTGATGTGAGAAGAAACAGATCCATGTGATCATTCTAGCACAAACATGACTTCCGATGTCTTGCAAGGTTATGGATTTGGGTTTTGTTAGCAATATTCTTGTTATAAGGCTCTGCGCTTCCTGGAGGGGGTGGAGGGACAAAGCTCCAATATGCAATATGCCTAGAGAGAAATATTCACCGACCTGTCCCTGCCTAGCCACTGCCTCCCAGGTGTGAATGTTCAGAGAGATTTGGGGGCTGTGAGTTGGTACGAAGTATATGCCATTTTGAAACACAACAAGAACGCATGCCCTAAATTGCCTAAAATCTACAGCTGGGTCCAGCTAATCTAGAAACCTCCAGACCTGCATTTTCAGACTATCTATCCCTAAAGAACAGCTACCAGCAAGCAACTGCCAGGCAGCTAAGCTACACAATCCATGCCACCAGAGGGGGTCACAAGAACCTAGTGAGCCAACGAGACATGATCCCCAGTGCGCAGCAGTGGTTTGCTTAAGGGTCAGACACCGTCATAAAAGAAACTGCCCTGGATTTTAAAGGACTGTTGAATTCCACAAGAGAGGAATGTGCAAAAAAAGGGTCCTCAGCGCTAGGACCAAAATGCTTCCCAGGAAAACTGCAGTGACTAGTTTTAATATCTTCAGTAGATATTTACTATCTGTTATACGCAGCTCTACAACAGAAAATATCTCCTATGTGTCTATCTGTGTATACGTACGCATGTTACAATATATACGCACAAATATATTTATATACACACACAGTATATGTATATGAATATATAATAAAGTACATACATATTATATTTTCTATGTAGATTTACTAAATACACTAATGCACATGAGGGTAATTATCTACTTACACACACTCTATATATTCTCTACATATAGAAGTTTATTACGCGTACTATAGAATGCAGGGGTTTTCCAAAGCACGTTATAGAACTACTCCAGAATTCTGAATGGAGTAAATTCTCTTAGGCACAGATTCTGCAATGAGCTCTGTGTAGACAGAACCCTGCAGCCATTCGAAGTCCCACTGAAGTCAATGGGGCTTCAGGCAGAGGGGCCCACCCACGTAGGGCTCTTTGTGAGATCAGAACCTTGGCAAAAGTTGTGCTTGTGTAGATACCTCCCAGAGGGTATCAGTCTGATGAGGCAGGTTACTGCTCCGGGAATGCCCATCCTATTGGAAAGCTCTCGGTGCAGGAAGTCGCTGGGAGGTAAGGTCTACTGTGTTATACGAACATTTGGGATTTATTCCTGTAACGGTGGGGAAGGCCTAGAATTTACAGCACTGAACTTTGCTGCGCATTCAAATGGGACCTGAATTCCTCCCGTTCTAATCTGCGCCAGTCTGTCAGGACAGCCACTTCTGACTGGATTGTCATTCTCGTTTCCCCTTCCATAGAGCTGAGGACACTGATAGTTCACAATCTCCTCAAAGAATTGTCCAGTCATTAAGGGACAGACTGGGCCCTGCTGTCCCACAGTGGTGCACTGTGGGGCTGTGTCCTCTCCTGCATCTCTGCGCATTATTCCTATTTTAGAGATGGTGAGACTGACATGCAGACAGGCTAAACGATCAGTTGAAGATCACAGAGCGAGTCGCTAGCAGAGCCCGGCTGAGAACTCAGGACCCCCAGCTGCTCCTCTTGAACTTGGAGCACTAGACAAAGCAGCCCCTAATTTAATGTAGGTCCCTCCAAAATGGCAGGTCCATGCATGAATCCTTCTACAGCGCCTACTGTCACCTCCCATTCCCATTTGACCCTCACTGGCTACAGCTTAAAGGGGGAGCAGACCTAGTGCCTCAACCTCCCCAAATGTTATCTCCCAAAGTGGGGGAGCACTTGTTCCTTGCAAAGTAAGGGTAGCAAGGCCATAACAAGAGAGTGGTTGCCCTGAACAGAGTTTAAGCATGGGGTGCTGTCATTAGAATCTGTTACAGCTAGCATAACACATGTATTCAGACTGTAAGCTCACTGGGGCAGGGATTGTCTTGTTCTGCGTTTGTGCAGCACCTAGCGTCATGGGGACCTGGACCGTGACTAGGGCTCCTAGGTGCTACCACAATAATAACCAGAACCCAGACCTCCTGCTCTCCATGTCCTAGAACACAGCTGCCAGCCTGCAGATCTTAGAACCACTCCCACCCGCCCTCCATACTCATGTGAGCACTACATTCCGGATAGACTTGGGCTTGGATTCCACTTACTTGGGTTGGCTGGGTCTCTGTGGACTGGCTGGGCCAGTCCACAGCAAATGTGCTATCACTAGGGTTGTCAGCAAGACACGGATCCACGGACTGCATGCTGCTCGAGGAAGTCTTTTCAGGCTGGCGGTTGGGATTGGGGGACAGAGAGAAGAGGAGGAAGATGGCAGTGGATAAAAAGGAGAAGTGCATGGTAAATAAGGGGGAACAGCAGAAAATGAGACATTCACAGAGGTACAGATCGGCCGGACAGCTATTTGCAATTCAGATGAACTACAAACAAACACTTGAACATATTATGGAAACAGAGCTGCAACTTCATCAGCAAATCTCATGATCTTTCCATTGCTTGCTGTGTATTCTCAATAACAATGGTGCAGATCCGGAGTAACTCCGGTGGTCCTGGACAATGACAACAGAGCAACTCTGGATTTACCCCAGTATAACTGGGAACAGAATCCAGCCCACAGAACACACCCACACACACCCATATATATGGCCAGCTTATTAATTGTTCCCTTGTGTCTCCTAACCCGAGCGACTGTACTACAGCGATGTGTGTGACTCACTGTCCCTTCAAAGGAAGCAAGGTTTCAATTTACAGGACGGCCAAGAAAACTCGGTGTGAGCAATGCGCTTTAGCCCAGCAAGGCGGTATGCACGGGATCGTTTATTATGGCTATTATGGAGAAGGAAGCTGAATGGCTTTTCATCATTTGTTTACAGCAGCGGCTGCTTAGGAAGATGAATCACTTTAATTAAAAGAAACTCAACATGGTGTTGTGGAGGAGAAAGTGCCTGGTGATTGGAGACTTCGTGAGGATCAACACAGCTAGCAGGGAATCTATGACGCCACTCCCAAGCAACCACCAATATTGCTCAGAAGGCCAAGCATACCCAGCGATGGTTTGGTTGAACAGACTAGCCCCGTGCAGTTTGATGCAGTCGGGGCGTTGGCCTTTGGGAGAGATAGCGGATAGCTGAATAGATAAGAAAGCAATTTGGGGGAGGGGGGTTACACTGTAGTAAATGTGAAAAGCAAGGTTAGCCCAGATAAGCAAAGAAAACAGGTTCTCTCACTGGGATCGATAGGTAAGGAGGGTGTCTATTATAATGAACCTTCTCCCAAGAACATATTCTAGGGTTTCCTTAATTGGGAAGTGTGAATTCAGCGCCCGCGGACTTCCAGGAAGGACTAAAGACTGGTAACGGGCGTGTTTTTCCCTTTCCTCAATTTTGCCAATGCACCTCACGCCTAACCCCCTGCCCCTGCTCCCACCCTGCTATTCCAATCCTGAGGCCTTTCACAGCTCTGGGAATGCGACCACCTCCTGCTAGTCCAGCACCAGGCCTTTCTGGAGCAGAAACTGCCAGTTCTGCAAACTTAGTGGCTCTGGAACGAACAAGAACCAACGCAGTGAAGACTAACTGGACACAAGATTTGAACTCTGTGCCAAGAGGCTTGTGCCCCCAACCTTCCTGCACTAGCTAGCCTCTCCCCCACCATCCGGCCTTGCTCACTAGAACTTCAGGGGGAAAATGAGGCCCTGTTTGTGCTTCGCGTAAACTGGATAGCTGCAAAGGAGGGTGGGTGTGGGACATGAGCACAGCACAGCAAACTGGCGTTAAAACGAACAGTAAGCAACATCAACCTCTTCAGCAGAGGCTCAGAGAGCCTGCCAGGAAGGGACAGACCTTCTACATTGTTATCACTACTGATTTTACCACTTAATGAATCCATCGAATTTCAAAACACTCAGTAAAGCACAAGGCAGGGATCCCCCCGTAACAAGGTCAGGCCTCAGATCTGAGCCCCAGCTGTGTCCATAGGGTCTCTCACCCCTCCACTCATGGGCAAGTTTACACCCTGTATTTTCCTCACATCCCTCCCTTCGACTGGCAAGTCCTCCTGAGTGGAGGGAAACAGAATCCTCCGAGAAAGCACACACACCTTCGCCAGATCTCACCGCAAGAGCAACGCATCCAGCATGTTCTTTCCCCAGCACGACTGGGTCAAACCCATTCTCTGCTGCTCTTATGCCTCGGGTCTCCTAGACACCACTCAAGTTAACAGCCTGGCCAAGTAACTCTCCTGACGCACTTGGATTTAT